TTATTATTTTTGATATTTTTAGTAAGATATAATCAACATTTTTAAAAATATGTTACTAATAATTTAATAAACAAAACTTGCCAAACTACTTTTTATCACTCCATATAAGTATTAGGAAGAAATGCAAGAGCAATATTTGTATAATCAAGTTACAAAATTTAAAAAAGTAGAATCTATTTACAAAAGCATTTCTCTTCTCATTACCATAATTCATCATAGAAGAGGCAATTCTGCATGAGGGTGCATCGACAGCATATGACTAACGCCATCTTAAATCCATCAAATCAACGGCGTTCCCCAATCAGACTACGAGAGAAAGACAGAAAGTCTACGGTGAAGTGTCGGCGAGAGTATCACATTTCGTGTGAGCCGATATTTGTTACAAGTTCTTATAGATGATGAAGAAGCGTTCATCGTACGCGAGCCGAGGCAGCCCAAGAAAATGGGTGCTAGCACTGACCCTTTGAGGGCCCTATTAACGAGTGGCCCCCCGTGGCCGACGCCGCCGCGCCGCAGCGGGCCTAATCAACCCCAAGTCCAATTCGGGGCCCCGGCTTCGACTTATTTTATGTAATGCCCGCGACGCCAGAATCAATTAGCCCTGGCACCCTCCTATTTTGCGTATGCATGCGCAACGTATATGCATAGCAGGCGATCTCGGCGAGCCGAAACTTATTTGCAACTGTCCTGCGCGCGCGGGAACGGTCGGTGAACGGGAAAAACCGGTTCCGGAGCCGCGAGTTAGGCGGAAATTAAATAGCTCGGGACAAACGGGGATCAGAGCGTTGCTGCTCACCTCCGACCGTGTGGCGAATTAGGATCGCTAATTTTGCCGCTCAGATCCCGTGGGGTTTTTTGACACGACCGGCCTAAGATACATCCAGCGGATGTTACGGCTGGATAAAGGATGGCGCCAAGCCTTCGAGGTTTTAGGCTAGTTATTAAAGTTAACGTCAGCGGACTAACATTAATGAAATTCGTGTACGTGATTAATTTTACCTTTAAAGATTTGATAAAAGTGTTATTTTTATTGATTATATGCGTATTGCTTTGCTCATGTACTACAACAATGATATAACTCCAAAATGGTCATTTTTAGTTAATTGTAGAAAAAAAAGAAACATGAAAAAACATACTTTTATGCCCATTTCTATCAGTGTATACATAGATTAACTTTAATCTCATTGCCAGTTTAACTTACTCTTTATCTAATAATTATCTAATATAAAAAAAAGAGTTAGTAAACCGAGATTAAAATTAAATTACATTGGTACAAAACAGACATTAGTCTTCTACAATCAGTTCTTTATCAAACACTCGTTTTAAGATTGATATTTCACAATTTTAATGATTCAAACACATTCAAATCCATTTCCTGGAAAACTTTGTTTTCTAAGTTGCACCATTATTGCAACAAATGTACAGAGCGATATAGTATACAATATATATTGTATATATACAAAAAGAATGGTTTCATAAGCATGTAAAATTTAACTAGATGCACACACAGAGCTAAAAGTAATTTGGTTGAATCATAAAATAAATATATAGGACGGTCGAGCTGATTATTAGAATGATCAATCAAAACTTTTCACAGCATTATTCATCATAGTAACGTATAATTCTTTTAATGATCCAACAAAATCAGCTACAAATCTATATCAAAGCTAAATTTTTAAATACTTCAGCAAAACTTTCCATGTATTATACATACATTATACTATTATGCAATAAATGTTGCGATAAGTAGCGTCACCGGCGAGAAAATAAAATAAAAAAACAAACCACAATCTTTCAAAAGACGCTATTAGAAACTTTCATCGTCATCCACCATCTCGCCGTAGATGCAATATGTTAAACGATAATTGATCTACATTGATTAACATATAAACTATCGTTAGTATAGTATAATTGTCAGAAAATATGGCCTGTCTAATCGTATCATTGGCGAGATAACGAGAACCATGACGGCGCGAGAGATTATGTTATAAGCAAAGAGAATCAACGAATTATATAGGTATACGCGCCGATCAGGAGTACGCCATCATAGCCCAGCACGGCGCGGTCAATTAGGCGGACTATCGTTACGTGTTTTAATGAGATCTCGACGCAGAGCCGAAGGTATATAAAAGTGTTTTATGTCCTGTGAAACCTGGGCACCGTTGTGCCGTCAATTAGGAGACTACGCGCCGCACCGTCCATAATCAGCATATGCAACATATGTGGCGTATGCGTGGCCCTTAAGCCGATAACCAGAAAGCGACGACAGTGTAATCTCGACTTATTATTTTGGATTAAGAATACTGCAACGCGGTTATTAAGCGCCGACAATATTTTCTTGTTTAAGTAAGATTTTTTCGAGTGTATACAGATTAATTAATAATATCTCCCCTCCCTGAAATTTACTCACTCATAATTTATAATATTTTTATATATGTAGAAGGAACAATATTTTGCTATATACTAATAATTGTCAATATTTTTTATGGTGTGAACATACGTTTATAAATAAAATAACATGAATTGAAAGAGAGAGACATGATTATTACAGCTAGTTTAATTATATAGAAAAAATACTGAAATATCGACAAATTTAAGTAGATACAGATATGAAATTTTGTTTGACTATCAAAATAATTATACTCAAGCATGATGAGCAATGCTGCCAAAAATGTCTAGCAACTTGAGCGTCTTATTAAAAATTCATTACTTTAAGATAGTCCAATAAAATTATTTTCAGATTTAGCGTCTAAATTTTTAGACACATCAGCAAAATTATTCTTTACATATTATAGAATAGATCACGCAATAACTATGTACATTATAGATTACGTCAAAGTCATGACCTGACAATAGTCAATTCAATAATTTAAAACCGAATGAGACAATGCTTACAGCGGTCTAAGCTGGATCACGGGTGTTTCTAAATAATTGTGTGTAAATTTATATACTATCTACGTATGTAATTCTTCGATTACGCGTCGAAATTTTTTCAGACTTGAAACACGTAATACTAATAAATTATCGCAGCAATATCACGAGTTAAATTAACTTACAATTTAACGATTATTGATGCTATTTACGCATCTTATATCGATCTTAAATGTTAAATAACCTATTAAAATAACCTATTAAAATAACCTATTAAATAACCTGTAAATAATTAATTTTTCATTGCGAAAAATATTACCTCGGCCGGGATCTCTGGCAATCCGTGCGAGCGTCCTAAACTCAATAATTCCATCTTATTGATTCTCGTATTCTTATTTAATTGCTTTATATATTTAATGTTAGCCTAGAAATTCCATTAAATACATTATAATTTCTCCAATAGATAAAAAGTAAGTAATATTTAAGGATAAATGTTACAAAAGCAGTAAACAGAACCGGTCAAATCCGATCAATATTATAACATTGTCACTTATGACGGATGAATCGAGAATTCTATATCATTAAACTTTGAATAACCTCTGTCCCTTTTACAAAAATTGTATTTCCGGATAAATCCAAGGATTTCATTGAGAAATGATGGATCGCAGCGTGAACGGCCATACGTCAACCAGCTTGCGTTACAGCGCACAGCGGCCGGCATTGGAGCATTTTATCTTATAGTCGGAGGAGGATTTTAACTCGAAGGAGAATGGACGGCGGCGGCGGCGTGCACCAGCCGGCAAATACCGCCGCGTGCACCGGCTGCAGGAGCGCGCATACATCAAGCTTGTTTATTTCTACGGAGTGGGTCATCGTGCGCAACAATACGACAATTTGACCGCGGCCGATCGAGATCTCACGATCCACCCTCCTACTACACCCCCCCCGGAGCGGACGTGCGGCTCTCCCGCCTCCACTCTCTCTCGTTTCCTCCGGTTCCTCCGACGTTCGCATCGATTTAACGGAGACCCGTGCCACGATCCCACGAGCCGTGCATGCATACGTGCGTGCCTGCGGGCGTGCATGCTTGCGTGCACGCACCCATACACGGGCGCGCACGTGGCGTAGCGACGACGCGTGTACCTGCCGCGTCGTCCATTTCGAGAATCCGACGCGATCTTATCTGCCATGCGGCCGCCACGACTCCCGCGAAGAGAATCTTTGATTTAGTGCGAGAAGAAGACAGTCGAGAAACGAGAGAGGGGCTGAGAGAACGGCGGAGGGAGTCCTGTTTCCGAGTGAACCAACGTTTCACAAGAACGATGCGAGAGAGATTTCTAAAAACTTTTTTATTTTAAGTAAATTTTCTCAGAGTAAATCCTCTTTATGCGCGCGCGCGTACGTGTATGTGTAGAAGCGCCAAAGTTTTTCGTTACTTTTAGGCCCGGTTGCACCAACACTTTTTGATTATAAGCGAGCTCGTTTTAAAGCCGAAAGGGAGACAGAGACAGAGGCAGTTTAAGTTTCGCTTAAAATCGAAATCACGTTGGTGCAATCAGGCCTTAAACATCAATATAAACATTTCTTTGAAGTAGATCGCATGGGCATAACGATTTATCAAATTATAAATCTTTATATTTAACGTGAGGATCAATGCTCTCAGAATATAAAAAATGCATCATATTTCTGGTGCGCTTGTTATATTTTCCTTACTCATCTATTCTAATCGATTTCTACGCCATTTATTATTTCACAATATAAGAAATATAAATTCAAATATAAGAAATGTATTATATTTATTATGCTTGCTGCATTTTTCTTGTTTATTCGTTTTAATTAATTTTTACGTAATGATAATATATTTCTACATAATTATAATTCTTATTTAAATTAAAACGAAATATCTTGCTTTTCTCCCTTATTTATTTTTTGTTACTTCATATTATATTTTTATTTTAGATTTATTTATATTATATGCATATATATTACAATATTATTTTTCTGTACTATATATTTATTACTAAAAATTATATTTCTTTTTTAAATTGTGTTTGAAATAATTCTGCACGTTGTGAAAGTTGGACTACGGAGTTAAAAAGTACGATTTAATGAATTGCGCAAATACTCACATCCTTCAACGGAACTTTGAATGCTAAGATTTTGGTGCCCTTGATTACATCACCGAAAGGATTGTAGTCTAACCATCTGAAATACGCAGAAACAACAATTATAATTATAAGATTGACTGCGTTCAGCAGATATATAAAATAGCTTTGCAATTGTAAAGTTCTTTAACATGATTGATTCTACCATTGGTTTTTCACTGAATCTAAATATATGTATAAACCAATTATATTAAAGAATTTTATATGTTACAAAGCTGCTTTCTCTGCTGAACACTGCTACTAATAATAGTAAAAATAAACAGCGTTACGTTTGCGGTGATTTGGCAATAGGAAAGTAGGTTGAATTAGAACGCCAAAATGAACGGATTAGGTACAAATCCACACATTTTATATTCGCTCATTGATATTTTCCAATACTAATATTCCTGAACATATCTTTTATATATTGGAACAAAAAATTTAATAATCTTAGCAAAATTGTTAGACATTTTTTAATATACATTTTATATTATTATTTATACAATAACCAAATATTTAGTTGTGTGTTTCTGCGAAATACATTTTTCTATACATACTTTGTAAGTAACAAAAATATTTGTTTATACCAACTAAACATTTTCAATTAATTACAAAATTACACCTTTGTTTAGTAATTTTAACTAAAATTGTTATTTAGTACATTTCAAATGTATATTTATTGTTACAACAAAATTTTGATTCGACAACAGTAGTGTTTTTTTCAGAGCATTTGAAAGAAACAAGTGGACTGCAGCCTATATCTTAGGAATCAGACTACGCATTGAAGATTGAGATTGAATTTTGACTAATCAAAATAATAGGAGTTAAAATTTCTTTATCCTCATTGTGGTCAAATTTCAATTTTCAATCTCAATTTTCAACGTAGTTCGATTCCGGCCTTACAGGAACGCATTATTCTCTGTCTCATTTAATCGATGTCAACTACTTTACGAGATTCTTTGTGTGACTAAAAAAAACTAAACATCCGGCGCGATAATTGTAACGTAAAGCAGTCTACATGGAGTAATGAGATAAATACTTGCTGTAAGAAATTTATTATACCAAACACACACAAATGTAAGCAAAATAATAATTTATGATCGACTAATTTCCTATAACTTAAGACTTACTGTTCTATTGTAGAATGCGAACACCATTTAGAACAAAACAAGACCTGGGAGTAGAGTACCGATACTATCGATCATGTAACTTTTTCTCCAGAGCGGAAACGTAAAAAGTAAAAATTTTTATGAATGTATGTATATATGTATATGTACACACAATATAAAAAGAAATCTGTAATTTTCATGTTTCTGCCCTAAAAAAAAGTCACATGATTAACTTCCTGATCGAAAATTAATAACCGATTAATTAAACACGAATCAAACTAACTCACTTGAGTAATTCGCATTTATTATTAAATGCTGTGGATGGATAACTCCATCTTGGAAAAAAAGGCGGGAAACAGCGAGCCAGACACACGTTCTCCGTTGATAAGTTAGCTATCTCTGAAAATAGCGTCGAATCGTTTTCCCGGAACTGGTAGAATCTCGCTGTCGATTCTATTTCGATATGTTACATAAAAATGGCACTACGCTTCGCGGATCAGTGATCGCAAATGATCGCATTTTAGCAACGAGGCTACGGGACGTATTTGAAACAATCTGAACCAATCTGAACAGGCCAAAAGGTCGACATAACATAACCTCACTATAACTCGATCCTACTTGCGATAGCGTTACGCAAGCGACTTTCAACTATTTCGAGAAACTCGGCAGATTTCCCTATACAACAAATAAAGCCGCTTACCTGTCCGGCACTGAATTCGTCATATTTACTGCTGGCTCAAAAATTTCCTCGCAAAAGGAACAACATAACACTGAAACGCAATATCGCCGTCACACAGCACACGCACGCAGTGCTAGAACAGCAGACGCACTCGCATAGAATCGACGACGCATAGAAAGATCGATCGATCTCTCGACATGCGGTACCGACTTGACGCGGTTTAACGCGAATTATGCAAAATCGGTGTCGAAGTTTTTAATCTTTTTTTTTTGAAATGTGATGTTCCTGAAGAAAAACTTGTTTTCTAAACATTTTTAGAGATCGCCAAATTCGATTCTAATCTCAGAATATTAAAATTCAAATTTAAAATAGTCTGGTTATCGTGAAATTAGCTTTTAGATTTTTACATCGCCGAGTTCGAATGTTGTCTGAAAATGTTAAATTTTAAAAGAATAGTAACCTCTAACGAAGTATAAAAATCATGAATGACACAAAATGACACAAACATCTTTTTGAAAGTTAAAAAAAGTTATGTATATATATTCAAATAAATATACACACAAGGTGTTTGAGAAATAATAAAAAGTTTTGTCGCATAGGGATAGAATGGACTAAACTGAGAAGTCCCTTTTTATTACTTCTCGAACATCTTGCATATACATATATATATATGTCCGAAGATACAGTAATGTTTCTGTGTAAATATGTATACATATATACTTTACCATTAAAAATTTCATAGTTTTTAATTATAATCAGATATTTTTATATTGTTATAATCAGATAGTTTCTTTAATTCTGTCTGCCATATTATATTCACTATTTTTAATTTTTTTATTTTACATATGAATAAACTATTATTAAATCATTCTATAAACCAAATTTTATGAAAATCAAGGGAGCATTTTGCTATTTTATACTTATTTTACAGAGTAAAAAGGAATGATCCCTAAATGAGGTTGGTCATCCATAAAAAGATTAATAAACTCTTCTTGACATGTTTATATTTTGATGCATGCGATTACATTATTAAAATTTAATTTCGATATATCGTATCCCTGCAAGAAAACAAGTTAAAATTTTTTGAATTCCGTAATATACACGGATTGTGTTCTAAAATTAAAAACCAAAAACAGCGGTGCGAGTTAAATAAATACAAATAGAAATTGGAAAAAAATGAAAAACAAGAAAAATTGTACAATAACTTTTAGTTACATAATACTATAATACTAAAAAGAATTATTATTTACATTATTTTAAACTTGAAAATTGAAAGCAATTTGTGATTAGCTCTAGATAATTATGTCTAATACTGTGCTACAAATAATTAATTTTAAATTATATAATTTTTTTTCTCTCACTTGAATAATTTAAATTGTATTTTACATTTGTGTCACTTTTTTACGGATATTTTTAATGATGTAATATGCTATCTGCATTCATTGTAAACATAAGCATTTCTCAAACTTTAAGAGAAACCAAGAATTTTTCTCGCGTTGTTTGTTTAGTATATTGTAATTGGAATGCTAATACTAACAAATTAGATTTATAGGGAAGTAAAATCCCTAAGTCGCAATTATGAAAATTCTGATAACATATATACAGGGAATGGAAGTAACTCGTTACTTGTAACGGAATTACAGTTATAAGTTACTTTTTTGGTAACTTTGCTGGTAATTGCGTTACTTTCTTTTTTTGGTAACTGTAACGGTAACTCGTTACTTTTTTTTACTCGGTAACGAATAACTGGAACTTGTTACTTTTAAAAAGTAACTTTCTCCATTCCCTGCATATATATGAAAAAGAAAGCCTGTATTTGAATGTTTCATGTAAACATTCTAGTACGAACATCTTTTTGAATATTAGAAAAGTGCTATTATAGAAAAAAATAGTCTTGGAAAAACGCCATTGTATAAAATCTATTTCCATTTTAATTAAATTATATTTTAATATAACTTAAATAAGCAAGGTTATAACTGTTCTTTTCAAAATAATTATTTTAACTACATTTTGTCACAACTGTTATTAAAAGAGAAATGCATTTAAGAATTCTAATAAAAATTTATTTTTTTTATCATACTAATTGAAAGAAAAATTTTAATAATAAAAATCTTGGTACTTTTAAGTAACAAATGTTATTATTTAAAATATATTTGTAATAAGGCTCAATAGATTTAAAAATGAAAAAATATTTTCATTATTATTTAGTTATAATTGCACTTGTTACAAATTATAATTTAATAAAATTTGGAAATAAATTTTTGATAATTGATACAATCAATTAATTTTATTAATTAGTTGGACACTGCACGTCCTTAGAGTCTGTTTTCAGTTGCAAAACTGCAGCTAGTACTCTCTTTTCCACGTCGAGGAGTTGAGGAGGCTTTTTATACTAAAATAAAGAAGAAATAAAATAAAAAAAAAAAGAATAAATAATGTATAGAAAAGTATATATCTATGAAAAAGCATGTTTCATACCGTTATAATCAAAGTATTATTTTGATGCCGAAATGATATTCTTTCCTGTTCTGGTTTTAATCCGATCCTGTCAAGATCTGGAATTTTTACTTTTTTAAAATACTTTTTGTTGCTTGTACGTACAGTCATAGTACCATCCTGTTCTGCAGTAACAGAATATATATTTTCAGGATATGGTAAATTCCTAATTCGCCATTCCAGAGACGCTTTTGTAATTCTCCTTGTAATAATAGGCTGCAAGAGAAAATTAACTTAGAACATACATTGCACAATTTGATGTTATTTGAAATTTCAGCATATCTACATATTATGCAATTATATTTTCATTTATTTACAAAAAAAATAACATACAGTATTTGAACTTTCTTCTATTCCACAAATTTCTATGTTATTTTGTCTAAGTTCAGGATCTCCAACTTCTACCATCCATCCAATGTTTGTTCCAAAACCATTCTTTTGTTTCCATGCTCGTCGTACTACTACATTTGTATCTGTACTGTATTCTTCTACCATTTCCTTCCCATCTTCCATTAAAAAATGAATTTTTCTTTTCCCTGTAAAATATAACATAACAAAATCAATAAAAAGATTTTTTACATTAGTCTCTTATCAATCCTTATTCTATAATTCTTAACGACAATGTTTCAATGTTATCTTATTCATTATATAGATTTTATACATAAAAATATGTAAAAAAAGCTGTGCAACCATAATGTAACAATATTATTGTTAAGAGTTATAGAATATTCCGGGACGAACCACCAAAATTACGTGATATTCTTCGCAATATATTAGAATAAATTATCAGTTATTTAGATTTTTAACTGTAATTTGACTCTTACTTCGCCCTAGGTATTGATTATTTTGTTACAGAATATTCTTAATTGTACAAAATTAAATATATGAATATATGTGTAACTGGAAATATTATGAAAATTAAATTTACATATATATATAATAATAAAATTAAAAATACTAAAAAGTATCAATTAAAAAAAATATTACGAAATTGATAAAAAGCTCATATAGTTTATAATGATGTTTTAACATAAACTTCTATATTTTGTTCAAGCTTATACTCGTATATATAAAACACAAGTGTTCTATTGATCAAACATTTTTAGGTTAGAAACAGGCATATATAAACACACATGTTCCAAATAATAATAATAATCAAACATTATGAAACTAATTACCATCTTCAATAACAGCAGTTTTCCTGGCATTTTGAATGATCTTCAACCATGAGTCAGACGTCATTTTTCACACCAATAACCGAATAATTCTGCAAGGTATCCTAGCAACCTTCTCACATCTCCTTATAAACGCAAACTTGACGCGATCAACGCGAATACTAATCGAATCAAACGCAACAATGAAAGCGGAAAGACTTTTGCTATCGAGATTAAAAGATATTATGCTCAATGACCTGTTGTTCTTATCCAAATCAATTTTTTCACAAACATGTTAAAACTGTTGGAATTAACTTGATACAGACCGAGTCTCGAATAGTCTCGAATCGAGTGGTCTTGAAATTGTCGAAATCAACAAGAGTGTCGAAAATAACTGTGTTTCTAGCTTTTCCCCACCTAAATTCAAAATGTCTGTTAGATAACCAAAGTTTTTTTTCAATACAGTGGAAGAAAAAAAATATTAGGAATCATTAAATAACAGAGAAATACAAAACCTAGGAATAAAAATTAAATGTAACGCATAATGGATACGTACAAATAATATATAAGACATATTATACCTTATGTCTCATTTTTATACATTATGCGTTACGTTTAATCTTTATATATTCCTAATTTTTTATTATTTTATATAATATATAAATATTTACTCCTATTTTTAATATTTCTTCGTTCTTCCATTGGGCAAAGGGGCGATCTTAGAGAGATAAATCAAGCCCGGGATTTAGCTACAACTTTATTTTGAAGCGCCTCTATGTCCACAAAACGTGGACATTGAACTATGTAGCCAATGTCCACGATCGTGTCGGTAATGTCCACGATTTCTGGTTCGAATCTTCCCTATATCTATAATTTTTTTGGTTCGAATCTTCCCTATGTCCATGATAATCGGTCAATTACTCTTTGTTATCGGTCCATTAGACAGACAAAGACAAACGATTGATCGAAATAAAAATGGCTATGCATGCACAATGAATACATGCTAGTAAACGCATTTTACATGCTTTTTATGATTATTTACAGGCTGACAAGAGGAGTAAGTACAGCTTTGACCCACTTTTACAGATAATCTTATTATTTTGTTTTACGTCTTTATTTACAAAAGGCATACCAGAAACTTTAATGTATTATTATTTGTTTATGACGTCACAATCCGATGTAGTCGCAGCGATTACTCAAAGAAGAATTAATTTATTGTATTAATTAGCAATTACTAATTATTGGTAAAGGGAAAATTAATAATTTCTTATTTTACTTATATCGTCCTTAATATTCATTTTTATTCACATCGTTCTACGTTATTGATACTGCATGCGAACAAAGGGTGGAGAGACGTATAATAAAAAATCATAAAATAGAAAATTTAAAATCAACGTTATTTATTGATACAGTCCACCTTTCGTACATGTATTTAATTTTGTACGTTAACTAGGCTCACACTCATAATGTTGTTCCCAGCTCGGGATAAGAGACTTGTCTTTCAATTTTTGAACATGGCCAGACACACACTATACCGCGTTTCCTGATATGAAACTTTATGTTTTTTTTTTTTTAGCATGGCATCTCAATTATTTAACATAGCATTTATTAATGCTTCTAAATGTTGATCCTCTTCGAAATAAGATTTTATTAAATATTTACAAGTCAATAGTTATCTATGCAATTTAAATTATAAAACGTATATCGCTCTATCATGAAGAGAAAAAACAAATATTTAATAATTTTTATCTTTGTTTTTCTAAAAACACGCTAGTATGTAATCTCTTTCTTTCTTTCTCTCTCTCTCTCTCTCTCTCTCTCTCTCTCTCTCTCTCTCTCTCTCTCTCT